CACCTAGTACCCTGGCATGAGGGGTGGGACTGATGATAGTGTTGTTGTCTTGATGGAGAATTGGGGAGGGGGGGTGTGCGCTCTGGGGGGAATACTAGGAGCTCAGTTTTGGAAAGATTGAATTTGTGTATTGACATGAAACACTCAGCATGACAGCCAAGATAGGTCTGCAATGAAAGCCTTTATAATTCTCTCGTGGTAGGTGTACTTTGAGACAGAATAGAGGCAGAATACATTTCTCCCAATCTGGCTCGATACAGTCAGCACAGGAAACAATTCTATGCCTGCCCCATACCTGGTCAAACATTTCCTGGCCAAAGCTATCTTGGCAGATAAAGAGACTGACTCATTCGAATTTTTCTGGCCACTCACTGTGGTTTTACCCTAAAATAAATAATCTATGTACCTTTGGCTGGTTTTGAATGTACAGGTTCACGGTTTGATCTTATGAGAAAAAGAGAAAAGGCAGATGATGTGATTGTGTTCAGATTTGTGGTTGTTGTTTTTTTTACATTGCGCTGCCCATCTTTTTCATCTTGTATGGAACAAAACCCTAGACCTGTGTCTGATCAGTCACTGATCATGCTACATTTACTTCATTACAGGGGTCAACTTTATTTTGTATTTACTGCATTGTGTGTATGTAAATGTCGTCATGTGGGCTGTTGTAGAAGGAGTTGTGAGTGTAGAGCATGCTCACTCAAGTATTTGCTCGCTGGCTACATACCACAAAACCATTTTTTACTATTTAATTGCATTAGGTTTTTTTTTACATTACCACTATAAAATGGCACTTTTGGGATTTCTGCCATAACCAGTGTCATAAATTTAATATTTTCAATGTATTTTTATTACCCTTGACCTGCATAAACAGTAAGTAAATTTTAACAGTATGATCACATTCTGTGAACGTCGAGTATGCCCAGCTGCATTCCAATAGACATAATATACATTGTGTGGAGCGATCAGGTTTCTGTAGTATTTTGATTAGGTGAAAATGTTTGGTAGATCATTCTCATATGAAATAGAGAGTCTGAGCAATTCCAACAATGCTGAATGATGTAAAAAAAATTTTATGTATAACGACAACTTGGCTTTGCTTTTTTTAAAGCCCATAGAAAAGGGACAATTTAATGAAACCAGATATTGCTTATTTTTCAGGACATTATCGAGGAAAAAGGTACAAAACCTGAATTTAATGCATGAGCTTAATCGGTCTTGAGAGAAATAAGAAGGCTTCCATTGTAGACTTTCCTTTAAATATACTAGTCTGTCATGGTAATCCTCAGGATACTTTATTTGCTAATTCACTAATCCAGGGCAAGAATCAGGAGTTGTACTTTCACACTGATCTTATTTTCTGCATACATATTGTGCTTCAATAGGTCAGCAATTGCAGCTTGTGTAATTCTCTCGTGTTTCCTTTAGTTTGAGTTCTCTGGAATATGCTGTAGCCAGACTCCAGAGAGATCTTCACATTAAGTGTAGGGGTGTCTGATACCTGGGAGCTCTTCTGTATAGCTTGCTCTCTCTGCTTTGTACTGATACCTGGATACATGAGGGTACTGTGTCTGTATTATCCTGTTTTTTTATTTTGCATTGGGCAGATTTGTTGACATGCGCTGCCATTTCAATGCATATCAGTACATCAAAAAGCAAACATAACATTTTCAATCAATGCACCACAAGGATGTGAACTAGCATCATTAAAAACAATGGTTATCCAGCAATTGGCCTTTTAACATGCATGAACATCTCAAAAAGCAAATCAGAAGACAAAAGGTGGAAGAGCCGCACGCCAGAACCCAGCCTCTGTATAGAAAGGTTGAAGATACGGCTTCAGCCTAAGCTCCTCCTGACTACACCTCTCTGACATGTTTCGCCCCGCCCATGGGGCGTAATCATAAAGATCTTCTCCTTTCTGTATAGTGGCTGGGTTCTGATATGCGTCACTTTAACATTCTGTCTTTCGATTTGCTTCTGAGCTTGTTTGAACACAAACACTCGATCTGTGCTTTGGACTGCAGGGGGAGGCAGTGCCTTGAGTGGCACTCCCAAGTTCTTTGTATATGGATCACATCAAAAAGTAGACACATTTTGTGCCCAACACACCACACAGATGTAAACTAGCACCATTAAAAACAGTGGCACACCTGGACATATACTTTAAAGTGCACCTGTCACTATGAGGGTCGAATCAAGAAATATTGATACTTGCAAAAAGAATTGTCCCTACACTTGTTTTTCCATTAGCCTTTGTCTTTAATACACCTTCTCAATGCTGCTCTCCTGCTGCTGCAAGTATTTGACTGGCCAGATGAGTCATTTACAGTGGATATAAAAAGTCTACACACCCCTGTTTAAAATATCAGGTTTGTGTGATGTAAAAAAAAATGACAAACATAAATAATTTCAGAACTTTTTTCACCTTTAATGTAACCTATAAACTGTAAAAGTCAGATGAACAACAAACTGGAATCTTTTAGGTGGAGGAAAGTAAAAATAAAAAACTGAAATAATATGGTTGCATAAGTGTGCACACCCCTAAACTAATACTTTGTTGAAGCACCTTTTGATTTGATTCCAGCACTCAGTCTTTTTGGGTATGAGTCTATCAGCATGGCACATCATGACTTGGCAATATTTGTCCACTCTTCCTTGCAAAAACACTCCAAATGTGTCAGATCGTGAGGGAATCTCCTGTGCACAGCCCTCTTCAGATCACTCCACAGATTTTCAAAGAGATTCAGGTCTGGGCTCTGGCTGGGTCATTCCAAAACTTTAATCTTCTTCTGGTGAAGCCATTCCTTTGTTGATTTGGATGTATGCTTTGGGTCGTTGTCATGCTGAAAGATGACATTGCTCTTCATGTTCAGCTTTCTAGCAGAAGCCTAAAGGTTTTGTGCCAATATTGACTGATATTTGGAACTGTTCATAATTCCCTCTACCTTGACTAAGGCCCCAGTTCCAGCTGAAGAAAAACAGCCCCAAAGCATGATGCTGCCACCACCATGCTTCACTGTGGGTATGGTGTTCTTTTGGTGATGTGCAGTGTTGTTTTTGCGCCAAACATATCTTTTGGAATTTTATGGCCAAAAAGTTCAACCTTGATTTCATTAGACCATAACACATTTTCCCACATGCTTTTGGGAGACTTCAGGTGTGTTTTTGCAAAATTTAGCTGGGCTTGGATGTTTTTCTTTGTAAAAAAAAAGGCTTCCGTCTTGCCACACTACCCCATAGCCCAGACATATGAAGAATACAGGACATTGTTGTCATATGTACCACACAGACCGTACTTGCCAGATATTCCTGCAGCTTCTTTAATGTTGCTGTAGGCCTCTTGGCAGCCTCCCAGACCAGTTTTCTTCTAGTCTTTTCATCAATTTTGGAGGGATGTCCAGTTCTTGATAATGTCACTTTTGTGCCATATTTTCTCCACTTGATGATGACTGTCTTCACTGTGTTCCATGGTATATCTAATGCCTTGGAAATTCTTTTGTACCCTTCTCCTGACTGATACCTTTTAACAATGAGATCTCTCTGATGCTTTGGAAGCTCTCTGCAGACCATGGATCTTGCTGTAGAATGCGACTAAGAAAATGTCAGGAAAGACCTACTAGAACGGCTGAACTTTTATTTGGGGTTAACCAGGGGCACCTTAAATGATGGCAGGTGTGTACTGACTCCTATTGATGATTTTGAATGTGCTTGCTTAATTCTGAACACCGCTACATCCCCAGTTATAAGAGGGTGTGCACACTTAGGCAACCACATTATCTTAGTTTTTTATGTTTACCCCCCCCCCCCCCACCCCCCCTAAAAGATTTCAGTTTGTTTTTCAATTGATTTGTACAGTTTATAAGTCACATTAAAGGTGGAAAAAGTTCTGAAATCATTTATTTTTGTAATTTGTTTATTTTTTTTACATCACAGAAACCTGACATTTTAACAGTGGTGTGTAGACTTTTTATATCCACTGTACCTGTTTCCTAAAGTGCACACTGTGGTCCCACCCTCCTAGGAACCACTGCATGTTGTGGAGGTAGCAGTAATTCATTAACCCAAAAGAACTGTTTGTCTCCAAAAATGAAGGACCCAAGCCACCTTAGTTTTTTTTTTTTTCTGCGGACATAGAGTCAGATGTAAACAAATGTAAATGAATGTACACTGATTTACATCCATCTGTCAGGTTTGCAAATGGATCCAAACTGAACCACAATGCACGTCTATGGACAAACGAATCCAGCTTGTATGTAAGGATCCTTGCTCGTGTTCTTGTTTCCTTGTACAACTTATATGTTGTATTCTGGATCAGTGCACACAAACGTTTTTCCATTTTGTAATGGTCTGATTTCTTTACTGTATTTCTTCTCCTACCTTTGAGATAGTGTTAGTAATTTTTTATTGCTCCCACTTGGGGGCAATGTGCTTCCTTGTATTTTGTCTGTGGGCCAAATGTTAACCAGTTCCTAGCAGCAGGCTTGGGAGAGTGCCGCTTGACTGTAATAGGGAACATTCTGGCAGCATAGTGACTTATTGCCTTTCATATAAAGTGCTGTGAATGAATGATTGAATGCGGTGCGGTTGAAAGGCATGGCCACAGCACAGACCCTGATTAACTCCCTGCGGTGTTTACCTCCATCAAAGCTGCATCCATATACACTTGATTTGAAACTGTCATCTAAGTTTAGCCAGACGCAGTAGCCTAGGCATAGCTGGCATAATCCAGATAACTGTCATGACTGCTGTTTTTAGACAGAGCAGTGAGTGGCGGGCTGGCATCTGTTTTAGCTCGGCCTTCAGGATGAAGGTATCACCCAGGAACATTTTGGCTATTTTAAATGATGAGCCCGAGACTGCCGGAAAAGTGGGCTGCTGCCGAACCCCGTGTGGATTAGAGGCCTGCTCATCCAGACGGGATAAAAAAGTCTGCTTCTTTGCCAGGGGTATATGTGTGATCTTTGCAACAACTGGTGACCCTGCTGTGCTCACTACAGGTTCACCGGAAGATCAGAGAGGATTCAGATATGGCCCAGGACTCTTTACAGTGCTTGGCACAGCTGGCATCCCTCCATGGTCCCTATCTTTCCTGATGAGAGGTCACAAGTAGATTACTTGGCACATTTCATTGAAGGATTACTGAATACAATTAATGGGTATGTATAAATTATTGTTGTTGGATGTTTGTTTTACCTGTATAGATAGCACTGGTGTATATGTGCAACACTTTGTCCTGTCACTCAACACTTTGTCCTGTCATATTGCCTTGGATCATGAAGTGCTATTTGGTATTTCTCTAGAATGCAATATGTAGATGTATTTACCATAGTCTGTGGCTGTCTACTCTATGCAGATGCCAATATTCATTGATACTGCTTTCTGAAACTCTGGATGTATCACAGGTATAAGGCTTGTTTAACAGGGGTGTTAGCTGTGAGCAGTGTGTTAGTATTGACATATACATCAGATGAGAACTATAGTGGATGGTCTGTGTCTGGGAACACCAAATGCAGAACACTCAGCCATAGATGTATCCTAATAGGCTTTTGGATTTCAGTCATTAAGGGCAGATTAATGCTTAATTACAATTTAGTGTAAGTACATACAGTGTTACCAATCTGTAATTTTGAGGGTATGTGGGTTTATTGGAGATTTGTTTGTAAGTTCATTGTATTTTAAAGTGTTTCTAAACCCAAAAGTACAAAATGAATGTATTACTGCTTACTGATGATGGCTGCTTTCTGAAACCTCTTAAAGGGCTGGGAGGCTTTAAACAAGAACATTGTGCATGCACAAAGTGGCTAATCATCAGTCACCTCTTGCACATCAGGAGGATGGTTTTTAAAGCAGATTCTAACTGTGTCTGTCTGCTGATCAATCAGTGTATGTATGCATTATTGCCTTGTGGACAGTGGGAGATCATTCCACTGGCACAAAATATAAATGCATGTCAGATGAAAATGGGAATTGTGGGGGTCTGATCCTTATGTACGTATGGCTATCTTGATTGTTTTTTTTAGGATAGAAATTGAAGATTCTGAAGCAGTTGGGATTTCCAGCATTATCAGCAATTTAATAACTGTGTTTCCACGCAATATTCTGACCGCCATTCCGAACGACCTTTTCTCCTCTTTTGTGAACTGTCTCACACACCTCACATGTTCCTTTGGAAGAAGTGCTGCTCTGGAGGAAGTAGTAAGTATTGTCACTATGATTTGATTACAGGAGGATTGGTTTTGTCACGTTTTCACAGCTTGGGGTCCTTTTACATAGATGTTATCAGTTAAGTCATGTTTGATGCTAAGAAAAAAAATTATGAATACTGATTCAGGTTACATCAGTTTGCACATCTGTCTTCAGTTCATTTCAGTTTACATACATTTTTGCATCTGTTTTTTTTGTGTTGAAGGAGCTAATCATAGATGACAAAAAGTATAAAAAAAAAATGTTTCTTGCCTAAAAACAGACATCAATTAAAACAGATATAAATGAACAGTATCAATTTACACCCATTCAAATCAGTCTACAGTCAGGTCCATAAATACTGGGACATCGACACAAGTCTAAAATTTTTGGCTCTATACACCATCACAATGGATTTGAAATGAAACGAACAAGATGTGCTTTAACTGCAGACTGTCAGCTTTAATTTGAGGGTATTTACATCCAAATCAGGTGAACGGTGTAGGAATTACAACAGTTTGCATATGTGCCTCCCACTTAAGGGACCAAAAGTAATGGGACAGAATAATCATAAATCAAACTTTCACTTTTTAATACTTGGTTGCAAATCCTTTGCAGTCAATTACAGCCTGAAGTCTGGAACGCATAGACATCACCAGACGCTGGGTTTCATCCCTGGTGATGCTCTGCCAGGCCTCTACTGTAACTGTCTTCAGTTCCTGCTTGTTCTTGGGGCATTTTCCCTTAGTTTTATCTTCAGCAAGTGAAATGCATGCTCAATCAGATTCAGGTCAGGTGATTGACTTGGCCATTGCATAACATTCCACTTCTTTCGCTGAAAATACTCTTTGGTTGCTTTTGCAGTATGCTTTGGGTCATTGTCCATCTGCACTGTGAAGCAGCGTCAATGAGTTGTGAAGCATTTGGCTGAATATGAGCAGATAATATTGCCCGAAACACTTCAGAAATCATCCTGCTGCTTTTGTCAGCAGTCACATCATCAATAAATACAAGAGAACCAGTTCCATTGGCAGCCATTCATGCCCACGCCATGACACTACCACCACCATGCTTCCCATGAGGTGGTATGCTTAGGATCATGAGCAGTTCTTTCCTTCTCCATACTCTTCTCTTCCCATCACTCTGGTACAAGTTGATCTTGGTCTCATCTGTCCTAGGATGTTGTTCCAGAACTGTGAAGGCTGTTTTAGATGTCGTTTGGCAAACTCTAATCTGGCCTTCCTGCTTTTGAGGCTCACCAATGGTTTACATCTTGTGGGGAACCCTCTGTATTCACTCTGGTGAAGTCTTCAAATCCATTGTGGTGGTGTATAGAGCCAAAAATGTTAGAATGGTGTCGATGTCCCAATATTTATGGACCTGACTGTAAATTGAAAAGGATGCAGCCTTTATCCATTTTAAAAAAACTGACCTGAACTAACACGAATTTAGGTGGATGTAAACAAACGATCATCGTTTTACACCTGCAAGCCCATTGGAATGAATTACTGTCTTTCCAAAAACTAACAACTGAAAAACAGAATACCCGCGTGGAAAGGTCCTTGGAGAAACTTCCCTTAATTTTCTGTCACGGCAACAGTGTTTTCACTGGACAGGAAGTAGAAGAAAATCCACCACAGCTGTTGGAGAAGACTAGACACCTTGTCCGCTTTGATGCTGTGTCCTTGTTGCAGATTTCTTGCAGCTTTAGAATACCACCTTAAAATTGACTCTGTGATAATAGCAGGCTGCCACAAAAAGCTAGACACCTAGCTGTGCCTAACTCCAATATGTTTCAGTCATAGACCCAGAACGAGCATAATGTAAATCAGGGCTTAAAATTTTGAGTCTAGACCTACTAGCCAGGCACAAACCTTACTCTCCACCAGTTGCCCCACCCAACCTTGCCCAGGTCCACCTCCAACCCCACCCCCAGCTTGTCCCCCAGCCCTGCTCCCAACCACACCCCCTTAAAGCTTATGAAATTACATTTTTCTTTAGAATAAAGAGTCCAAAATATAAAAAACTGCAATTATAACATAGCTTTATTATGTCAATTTAAACATAACAGCAATAGCTCAATAGCAATACAGTGCAATCAAAATATCAAGTTTTACAGCTTTAAACCTGTAGTGAACATTTTTTGTTTTTTTTTTGTTTATCGTCTGCATCTTTAAAAAGAGACTTTAGTAACTAAAGTCTCTTTTAAAAGATGTAAGTTTAGTTTACAGAAGTATAGCATAAGACCTGGACAGTGGACCATACACCAAGCATAAGGACTCACCTAAGCACCTGCGCCAAGATGGAGAGCCGGAAACACAGCAGGACTACCTCCAAGGGTGCCTTATACAAGCACCTAAGGCCCCGGACCATGTGGTCCACCATTTTCACAGACAGTGGATATTAGTCTGACATCTAGACCTATGTGAACAGTAGGGACTTCTCAAAGGGAGGACGGCTTCATACTAGAGCCCTTAAGGTATCCCCAGATTTTAACATTCCCCACACCAAGGTGAAAGGTACAGTTACCAGCGCCTGTGTACGCAGCAATGTAGGAGGGAGTCTCATCCCCGCTCTCAGGGGAATCGGATGTTAACCAGCATCCTGACACTACAGTTCTACAGAGGGGAACAACCCAGTACCTACTGAAGCAACACTGAACAGATCAGTAAGGGGCCAGCAGGGATGCCTTGGTAGAAACTCAAGGGGTCATAGACTGGGTGATGAGCCTAAAACGGAACCCAAATTGCCCATCATCAGTGGTAATGCAATTATTCTCCTCCCAGTGGCTGCACACCCTAGCAGCCGTTAGGCAGCAACATGACCTAGACCAGCACCAGCAACTGAAGCAATACAATGCCAGTATATCCGTGGATCCAGTACAATGTAGTATTGTGGATTCCCAGCCCTAGGATACAGGGTATGACAGAAGGTGAACATTCAGGGAGGAGCTCAGCGGTAGCTGTCAGTGTATACAGGGAGCCCATGGAAATCATTGGCTCTCAGCTGGATTTGGTCCCAGCCCCCCTCAGACAGCATAGTGGAGATGAAGCACTCCTTGAAAACAGGGGTCCTTGAGTCCCCCGCGGCGGTGGAGAGCAGGTGTCTCCTCTCAGCGGAGGAGAGCGGACCTCTCCTGCACCTGTTCCCTCAGCGGTGCTGCAGTGTAATGGCGGTGCCGAAGAAGAAGTCGGAAACCGGAACTCGGCTTCACAAAGAGGCTTGGAGCGCAGGTGGAGCCGCTCCATCATTTGTGCTCGCCTCTCACCACACAAGGATTTCCCCTCGCATTTGACGAGGGGGTGAGCAGCTTTTTCAAGCCCTGCTGTAAAAGACACAGAGCCACTTATCACTATACTTGTTTCATGCTACTGCAGTGCGGTTGTCCTACACCACGGGTGCGGCGCAGCTTCGCTTTCCCTTAGTGTCTTTTAGGGACACAGTATAACTATGGGAAAGCACAGTTAACCCACTCTAAACATGCGGGTAACCTGCGCTGCACCCGCAGTGTGGGAAAACCGCACCAAAGTAGAGTGAAAATGACAGTTCAGCATCAGAATCACAGGTGAACTAGGAGAGTTGAGCAATTAATATTCCATGCTGTTTGGGTTCCAATACTATTGTTTCATGCTTATGGCTGCTATTTAAGCCCTTAACATCAGAAAGAGTCGAGGCTTCTGCAAATAAGAATTCATGTGCAGAGTGGTCAAAGAACCCAAAATCTAAGGTCCTTAACTCACATACATACACCCTGTGGGTTCAGGGTTGAATAATACAGCCACCACACCTAGGAACTGGTACGCTGCAGTGTTTT